ACTCTCGTTTTTGAAATTGCGCTCAAAAATCTTTCCCCAAACGCTGCCCACAATGACGCTTAGAAGAGTGACGTAGTCTTTTTTACGACGTCGTCACTATCTCAACAGCGCGCCCTTGGCGGATGCGCCAACGAACTTCAATATATCAATTACTTCTCTCAAAATACATTGAACTTCAATGGGGAAGCAACATTACTGTTATCATTTTTATGAGTGAAGATCTATCCGGTCTAAATTGATTTTATATCTGGACATACGACAGGCCAGGCCGACAGGCCAGGCCCAAACTCGGGAAGCAAACGATGCAGGCCTGCGTTACGTCGGCAGTTACCTGGGCAAAACTAAAGTAAAATTAAGACGCCAGTATTATTGCGTAACGTAAGAGGATTCGGATGCATGGAAGTCTGGAAAACGTCCACTTCAACTGAATAAAGCGTGTTTTCAGGAGAGCGTTGAAGCTCTTGCGGCGGCGTCTCACACCGAAGACGCTTCGCTGCCGAACGCCAGGGTGCGTCGCCTATGAGGCGGGCGTCTGGATACAAGGTCGGAGAAGCTCATCTTTCAAAAAATAATTTCTCCGTAACAACAAAAATTACTTTTCTAATTTCTTGGCGTATTGCCGCGCGCAACGCTCGGTCACGCACTTCTAAAAGGTTCGCGTTTATTCTTACTCGTGATGTAACTTTTATAATTTCGTCCTGCTTTCTCGTTCTCGAAAGTGCCTGTTCATTTTCGCCCCGAACGCGCGACGCTCGAACCTTCTGGGCCGAATATTCCAGATGGTGACGCACACTAGATAAGGAGCTGCGCTTGCCCTTGTCGAGTCAGTCTCGCTCTCGCGTGCTGTTACGCCGCCAAACCGCCGCCCGCTTTCCTGTTGTCTCGACGCTCGTTCTTTGACTTGTTTGGCACATGTTCGCCGATTAAACCTTTATTTTCAGTTCACTCTTCAACCTCTCGTAGCCTCCATTGCTGACAATATTTAACAGATGAGGTTAATTGAACTTTTGGCTGTTTCGAAAGATCCGGGCACCGCTGCCCACCTTGCTTTTTATGCTCTTAATATGGCCATTTCTGCATGAACTGGAGATTTCAAAATTTAATTAAAACGCAACAAAACAAGGCTTTAGAAATTTCCTACAAGCAATTCAATTATTAGTCTTAAGAAAATGTAGCCCCCGAGCTACAAGGACAACAGGAACGACAGCGAGAGCGGTGTGTTTCGGCGCCACGCGATTCATGACGGGTGCCACGAGACACTGAGATTCGGGGTGACGTGGTGCACGGACGTTCTACTATGGCCGGCTTCTGCACTGCAACTAACAACCATTTGTAAATTTTGTAAATATAAATGTAGTGACAAAAACCAAGCTCGCTACGCCTGCCTGCGGACATGATCGAACCCCCTACCATACCAGACAGCGTGGATCCCGCATCCTACATCCACAAGTTAAGGCAAGCAATATCAACGCTTCGCCCAGTTCCATCACGCCAACAAACGCAACCGAAGGTTTTCCAACATCCCGCACTGACTGAGGCTACACACGTTTTCATCAGGAAGGACGCACCGCGGAAGCCCCAGCAAAACCTGTACGATGGTCCATTTCCTGTCCTGGAAAAATCACCAAAATACTATACCCTGTTGCTTCGAGGTAAACGCGAAACCGTCTCAATCGACAGACTAAAACCGGCTTTCTTCTCCCCCTTCGATTCACCAGCGTCCAAGCATCAGCATAAAACACCAACACCCAGAGAGCACCAAACAAACTCCACTCAAGTGGCCACAGCCACTTGTCCAAGGGGGGGGGGGGGGGGGGGGGGCACCTGTAGCCCCCGAGCTACAAGGACAACGGGAACGACAGCGCGAGCGGTGTGTTTCGGCGCCACGCGATTCGTGACGGGTGCCACGAGACACTGAGATTCGAGGTGACGTGGTGCACGGACGTTCTACTATGGCCGGCTTCTGCACTGCAACTAACAACCATTTGTAAATATTGTAAATATAAATGTAGTGACAAAAACCAAGCTCGCTACAAAAACATAGGAAAAAAGTATTGTAGCTAGCACCCAAATCCAAGTCGACTAAAAAAATTAACTAATCTAATTTTCTTCGTTTTGGACCTCTTAGCTATTTGGACTAAAAATGGCGCCTTTCAATTGTTTTCATTTTAATGTAACATAGGGCATTTTATTAAGTTATTGGGCGCCCACCTGAATTCGTGTGGTGCGCAACTCTTTTCACGGTGTTTTTCTTAACCACATAGGTTTTATGCAAAGTCTAGAAATTTAGAACGTGATATCAGCAAAAATATAATTTATGTTTTCACAAAAAATATTTTAGTTCAGACGCTTATTTATCTAAATTAATTTTTTCGTACACATCCCACACAGGCAAAAATTACAGTGCCTTCTTTGGCGTGAAATGACCCGCTGATGAAGCTAATAGATTTTGGCTGTGTCCTCAGCCAATGAAACGAAGTATTTCAAAGATATGTAATTAACTCAACCGGTGCTTTATTTTAAATACCGGCGTACATTTTCACCACGTGAACCCAGGTAAAAAGCAAAGTTCTTCCGAAGCGACAAACCTGCGTTCGCAGAACACACGGTGATGTAAAGCAAGCATGAGTATGGAACGTTTGAGAGGCTGTATTTATGCCCATATATATATATTTATATAACAAAAAATACGGGCAACAAGAACTATTAAGTTCGTTAGCTTGCTATTCACGTCCCGCGTCTGCCAATGTAAAACCGCGAAAGGCGCCTAACGAGCTAAGAGAATTCCAAGACGAGTCGCGGCTAATCATTGAGCGACAAAGAGCCAGACCCGTAAAGCTGACACGAAATCACAAATGGAGGAACCGTTTGATGAACGAAAACCTGCAAGCGTCACCGACGACTTCGTTAAAAAGACGACGCAAATATTACACAAAGGCGGGCTTCATGGTCTCATCAACGAGACGACGTTTCCAAGTGCGCTTCTCTGACTCCTCGCTCGAACAAATATGACGGCTCAGGACGGGGGAGTAACGGGACGAACTGATTCGCGATGTTTTTGAATAACGTCGCAGATACAAAAAAAAAAAAAGAGAAATATTTAAAAGAGGGTCCGAGGAGCATGACCCTAAATTTTGATGAACATCCAGGATACAAAGCAATACGGAGAGTCGGCGGTAACATACCGGGAGGCAAAGGCCAGCAGGTCCTGCTGGCCTTTGCCTTCCGGTATGTCACCGCCGACTCTCCGTATTGCTTTGTATCCTGCGAAAGCGAAAGCACAACGAAGATTATTGTAAGGGGGAAGTAATATTTTCTCACGATTGATGCGTTAAGTGAAACTATATAATGGGCCACTCTGTAATACTAAATAAAATAGATGCGCATGTATATTTCAAGTTATTCTCGCGAGCTGAGTGTAAGGTGATAAGCAAAGCCCGGTCAGACTATTCACCTTTCACTCGTACTCGCGACTGCGTTTTGCCCAGCTTGACTGCAAGGTGCATCCAACTACGTAGAATCAGCTCGCTACGTTTCTTTCTAAAACCGAAGGGAACAAAAAATAGACCCTTTAAACACGCGCCAGGTTGAGCCGCCATTGCCGACCTTCTCTTGTCTAACCGAGATACTGAGCCCCTGAAGGGGCGTTGACAAGCTTCCATAAAGTACAATGCTGGGGAGAAGGACACAGTAGCACCTAAAGTGGAAATAACCTGTCCTGCTGTGGCAATGTTGAAGTAAAGCGAACGGAATAAGAGGAAACAAACACTGAAGGTCGCTTATGGCGGCGCCCATGCACAGCTGCCTGAAAGCGTCTATAGGTTTGGGTGTTCTCCGGGGAATATCGAACTTCAGTTAAGATCCGATTTCCTTCCAAATTCAGATGCAGGCACGCGCAGCCTGCATGCATTACACCTAATAGGTAGCTGTATTTTTGAAGTTGGCTGCCGAAGGGGCCCGGTATCACTAAGAAACAGAGCGTCCCCCCCCCCCCCCCCCCCCCAAAAAAAAAAAAATAATAATAAAATAAGCAGCATTCCATGTGTTTGGCAATTGACATGTCCGAACATTTATATGTTAAAAAAAAAAAAGCTTGAAGAACAGGTGAATCAACGTTTTTCGTGCAACAAAAATAACACCCGATTTCTGGACCCTGATTTGAGGGGAAAATGAAACACGAAACGTCAAACTCTAGACATGCCCTGAGGTGTGCCGTGTTGACAGTCACCGATTTTGGCTGATTCTTCCACCAATGAGACAACGCTAAATCTGCAGCAGAGAAAACAGTGTTGCTAGTCTGCTAGCGGAGCGCGTAACCGCCACCCTAGCAACACTGAAGTTGCAGCGCAACGGCCGGGAGGAGTACAACGTTCCCGGACTGTTTTGGACTGAACGAGTTATTTCGGAATACCCCGACGGTATATCTAAACAAAGAATATATACCCAGATTTCTTAAGTAACCAGTCATAGCTCTAGTAGCACTTCCCCGCAAAATATATGTCGTAAAGAAAGAAAGAGAGAGAGAGAGAGACAGTAGATGTATTTTGGAGATATCTGTCGGAGGTAATTCTTATGAAACGTCTTTGAACACGTTCCATAGAGGATGGCGCAGTATGGTATGAGGAATGAAGCATAATCTCAAGACTGTCCGAGCATTGTTTCTTTGCGTTACTCCAGAGCAACTGAGGGGATCTTCCGCAGGCACTATGTTTCGTCTTCACTTCGTGCGTCTTAGTCGCCTTTCTCAAGAACCTTACACATGGTCGTCTATGCAGCGGGCAGTGCACGTTTATTTAAGAACACTAAAACGCATTCTGCTTTTTTTTTTTTTTTTCTGCACGAACGTATTACGTTTTAAGCAAGTCAGCGAAGAAACGAGCAAGAATATTCTAGTGCGGACTATTTTTTTTTTTTTTACAATTATCTGACACGGACTCTGAGCACACCGGAGAATTAGGAGTCCCCGAATGTGTGATGAGGAACAACGAAACAGGACTTACGGATCCGGAGCGAGGTTCTGTCTTTTGCGGTTTACTTGATGAGGCTTGGGCTCAGAAACCATGTTAACGTCTGCAACACAAAAAGAGAGAGAGGAAAAAAAAAGAGAGGAAATGCAAAAGAGTCAGACTCTGACAAGAAAAAAGAAAAGGTGCCAGAAGTGTATGACAAAAAAAAAAGTGCAGAAGGGAGGGTGATGAAGTCGGGGTAAAAATTGCGAGTCCTCAGGATGTTATAAAAAAAAAAATAAAATCCTTTTTAAAAATTTACACGCAACGTCCTCACGTGAGAGAGCTGGAAAGAGACGGGAAAGGCAGAGTGCAAAAAATTATGAGTATCTGAGGAACTCTCATACAGCACGAGGAAACAAAAAAATTCAGCCATCTATAAGTGCCACTCAAAGTGTTCTGTTGTTATTCGCAAGCATAAAGACACAGACGAATCTTGTTAATTCTGCAGAAGTTTGGAACATGTAGAGTTTTGCCGTGATTTTCAGAGCGTACAATGGCGCATTACAGTTTAAATAATTACGAAAACGGATTTTTTTTTTTAAAAAGCTAACAAGTTCTTTCTTTATCTCGGAAAGGATGAAGTAAGCTGAAGAAAAACGTATTCACTGGGAACACAAAAGCTCCAGAATTTTAATACCCCTGTACAGTCAGGAATCAAAGCGTTACTAAGCCCGTCCTTATTGTTTCGAAGCTACCTTAGTGCTTACTGGAGATTATATATTTGAAGCTACTTTCAACTTTTCTACTTTTCTCTTATATGAAGAGTAAGTTTATCCTAATCTTGGCTGACATCTTTTGTTTTTAACCAAGCAGCTTGAAACAAGAGCTTATTTTGTCGCGACCAAGCGAGAATATAAAAGGCACACGTGCTCATAAAAAAAAAAAAAAAAAAGTTACGAATTGCAGAACAGGTTTTAAAATGAAGGAATTATTTCTTTAAGAAAGAACCGCTAGTGCTACAGCAACGACAATGGATCACAGCAAAACACTCCGCTATTCAAAAGTCCTGCCCGTCGTGAGAAACAAAGACTCAATTAAAATAGGAAAGATGGACTCTGGAGATAAAGATATCGTATAAAGAGAACGCCATCCTATATTTTGTTTGTATGAAAAAAATAACATGTTTTACACAGATATGAGCACAGACTATTTTTTTTTTGTAGTTTAGACTAAATGAAATTACTTTGAAGCAAGTATGGAAGCAGCTTTAATTTGTGTGCCTTAATGTACACTTGAAAATACGTCCCCGCATCTAGGTTCCCGCATAGCACTCCGAAAGGGAATCGCTACAATCCGGGAAGGAAGCTCCATTCTTGTGACATTGAAAAACGTTTTCACCAAAATATGGAAGCTTGCAGGGGCGGATACATGAACACGAGAGCAATGTATCGCAATAAGTGGTGGAACGGTTATGATTGCATAAACACGTTGAAATAATGGATTAGGTACGTGTGACGTTATGTGAAACAACTTGATTGGTAGTACACCGCACAGTTCAGTGTTTGGTGAGAGCGTCTACGTCGTTCGCCGAACTCTCTCTGTTGACCGCAGTGACTGACCCTCCAAGAGCACTGGAGAAAAGCGTACAGCTGTATATATATAGTATATACAGGGTGTTTCACGAAAAGTGGCCAAATTCGATATTGCAAAAACTACGCGTCGCAACAAGAAAAGGCTTATGTCGTTTTGGTCCTGGGTCAGGGGCCTATTTAGGAAAATGATTAAAGTCCGGGATAATTAGATTGTTAATTATTTTGCCTAATTAACTTTTTCAATATTCAATATTCAATTCAATTTTCAATATTCAAAACTGCTCAGCATCACCAAAAAACACTAAATCAACAAATTGCAGAAAGATAGAAGGAACGCGAAGGGCATTTTACGGCTTTCTGAAAAACCGCACGAATTCGACGGGTTTTTAAGTTTCTTTTTGCTATTGGAGCGCATCTCGGCCCCGGCGGCACCGCGCCCCGTGGAGAGATAGTGCTACCAGCCTCTGCTGCGTCGCGCGATGATAGCGCAGCAGAGGTTGGATGAACTATCTCTCCACGGAGCGGGGTGCCGCCGGGGCCAATATGCGCTCCGATAGCAAACCGAAACTTAAAAACACGTCGAATTTGTACGGTTTTTCAGAAAGCCGTAAAATGCTTCACGTGCCTTTTATCGTTCTGCAATTTCTAGATTTAATGTTTTTCGATGATGCTGAGCAATTTTCTAATTGAAACCATGCCCTTAAACACAACATTGAAAAAGTAATTACGCAAAAGTGATTAACAATCTAATTATCCCGGACTTTAATCATTTTCCTAAATAGGCCCCTGACCCAGGAACAAAACGACATAAGACTTTTTTTGGCGCGACGCGTAGTTTTCGCAATATCGAATTTGTCCACCTTTCGTGAAATACCCTGTATGTATATATATATATATATATATACGGGGAAACAAAGTGATTTTAATACCCCCTCCCCTTCTCTCTTTACAAGTTACAATTGCGCCCTGACGTCTGGCCGGGTCAAGAACGTTATACAGAAACAAATAAAGTTATTTATTAGGGCAGCCCTACCCCCTTGTTAATAACGCTTTCGGTCTAAAAAAAAAAAAAAAGAAAGAAAGGAAAAAAGACAACTTATCCACCACAGTGTGGAAGTAAACTTAGCGCGTCCGATAGCCTCCTGGATTATCTTGTATTGCTATGTCCCACGCAGTTTTTTTTTTTGCCGAATAATGGTAAGAATTTATTTAGTTCTTTATTTATCTTTATCTCACGTCTAGGATTAGTTCTACCAGAAAAATGCAAATTATTTGTTTAGCTTCTTCATTCACAGAAACCTCAGTGATTGCACGCAACACGTAAGGACAGACAAGATGGGGTAAAATGACGTGGTTCATAATCGCTGCGGCTGCCTTATGATTCACATGCCCGAGACAAAGAGAAATAAAATAGTGGACAAGACGACACAAAATCTCAAGCGCCGTCTTGTCCGTTCTTTTATTTCCCCTTATCTCAGGGCTTAGATTGTGATGGTTTCCTTGTCCTTTCACTCCTTGTGAAGTCTGACCTGGTCTGACTTCTATATATAAATTTCCGAACCGAGTCACCAGCTCACTTCCTGCGCTTTTCAGCCCTTTTTCATGTTTTACTCCCATCTCACAGAATGTTCCCCGTGTTGTGGACAGCAAAGCACTATTGACTACTCCTCGCTACTATTTGTCAGTGCAGCCGTCGAAGGTATGTATACATCCTGCAGCTGGCTGTATACAATGCTAGGTTTCGCGCGCACGCTTAAAAAAAAAAAAGCTGGTTCTTTTAAAGGTATCGTAATTCGACCGCAGAGTGAACCCCTGCTGCGACGTATCGTCCAACCTGTCGTCGTTGATGTTATGGCAGCATGCGACAACGCAACTTGTATTTTAGTTTACGGTCCCATGCGTTGCCCCGTTTTGTTGCTACTGATTTTTGTACCTTGGCAACCCCGATTTTCTCTCGGATGATATGTGGCCTCGTAAAGTCATTTTGTTATTCCTCTGTTGCGGCACCGACATCACCAACAGCAAACAGACATGGGTGGGCGTTGTCCAGATGAGCAGTTAGCGGGATTCCCCGGTGTGGTGGCACGTGCCCACCGTTTTCTCCCGGTTGGCGAAATGTGCTCACCGGTTGTGGGCACTCGGGTGAACACGGCCGGAGCCAGCACCGGCGCTGCAGGCCTTCTAGTTTATGTATTCCGACAAGGGATTTCCGCACCCGACGGGAGAGGGACCAGAGGGCAATTCAATGAGAACATCTCTGTGCTCGCTTCAAGGAAAACAGAAATAGGGCAAGGAAGCGCAAAACAGGAGAACTTCCCCAGAGATTAGCTTGCACGAAATGAGCGGCACTCAGAAAAAGGCTCAGCTGGTCTTGCGCTCCTAAAATAACACTAGCGCGGAGAAAGAAGAGGAGATTGCGTGGCCAATCCAGGCGCGGCGCAATAGATTAGTTTCGGGTAGTACAGAGAGTGGAAGAAGAAAAGAAGTACTTCCATCTTTGCTCATACGGGATACACTATATAGCGCGGCTTTTCGAAGCCGCGCCGTATAGAAAAGCGATAAAAGACGGAAAGTGAGCTTTGTGCCTGTGCCTAAAGTTCACTGTTGGACGTATATTTAAGTCCGACTACCGTATCTCCCACAAACATTGAGACACAATACACTGTCGTTATAGTGCGCAGGATCCTCAAAGGTGGCCATTCTCTGTTAGCACATTTAAGTGATGCTCACTGCATAGACCTCAAAATTAAGTATTTTATCTTTGCCTGCATGATTGCGTTTCCGTGCGAACACGAATGCGGCTTGTTTATTTCATTCATATTGTGCTCCTCGTGGCCTCTCTCGGTCTGTGACGTTTTCGGACTCAGTTATGTTAAGGGTTTACTCAAAACTTATCTAAACCTTAGCAATCTTTTGTAACGAAAGCTGCTTTAATTTCAATCCAATTAGATCCCCTTCATAATATTTTCTTGCTTTTTTTATTTATCTTTTTGGCTCGGGTACTATAGATAAATAGGTACGTACTCATGTAGGCAGATATGCAGAGAGGTATGCATGTAGGTTCTTTGTTTCAGGCAAAAATAGTCTGGGGGCTGGAACAAAATAGGACGAGTGGTACTTGGACGAGGTACTCGTATTAAATCCTTCAAGCAACACTGACAGTCTCCATTTCTTGGACACGAAACACTATGTAGGCCATTCTCTTTCCCTGTACCACTTCATAATTACCTCGTTTTGTCTCTCTTTGTCTTTTTTTTAACATTTCATGTACACACAGACATGCAGTGATCGTCAAGTATTTTGTTTTTTCGACTCGTCTCCGTTTTTTTTTTCTGTTTAATTCGATACTTCGCTGCAGCTCGTCATACATGCCATCTCCCTTTCTCCGTTCGTCTACACGACTCAACATCACACACTCCCGATTCCAGAAATAGCGCACCAACTGCATCTGTTGTAACACTGTGTGTGGTTCGATGGGAGGCTGCATCGACCCGTGCGAGGACTTTGCAGCTCTCCCTGACAATCTCGCAGCGGTGGCCACTCGGACGGAACGAGCTTTTCATCCGCATTCTGTTTTCCCGTTATAACCGATCGGTTCGCACTGTCACTGACCATCATGAGGGCTCGGTAAAGCATACTTCCGCAACATACTTTCGTGCCTCACTCAGCAACCTGTCAGACTGCTTAAGGAAGTTTGTTCCTAAAATGAGGCTACGACGACTATACGATACCGAAGTTCCTCGAGTGTCTG